ATGTGTAAGTTTGGTCTTTTTATGGTGTCACACAATTCCTGCATATTCCATTCTTGTGTTTTCTTAAATTTTTCATAATCTTTGCTTGAGTGGTCTAGTTCATCCACTTTGTCTTCCAGTCTTGATATTCTGTTTTCCATTTCATTCATCCTATTGGTGAGGCTTTCTCCTGTCGTTTCTAATTGGCATATTAAGTGTTTCACTTCTTTCTTCATTTCAGCCTGAGTATTCTTCAATATTTATAACTTTTTTCTGAATTCATTCAGAAGTTTGTCCCTATCTTCTTTCAGTTCTTTGATTTCTTTGTGTGTTCTTTAAATTCACTGAATTCTTTTATCATGCTTATAATTGTTCTTTTGAATTCCATGCCCTGTGTTATCTCTAGTGGGATCTCACTGTACTCCTCTACAGGACTCTTGGTACTTTGTGGGGATATATTATTTTTTTTTATGTTATTATTTTTTTCACCGTGACTTTGACAAGAGGATTTCTTTTGTTGTTTCTGATTCTTGTGTGAGACTCAAGCCTTTCTTTGTTGACTTGTCTACTTCTGTTTGTAAACTTTATGTGCATTTGTGGTTCGCTTATTGGGCATGAAGAATTGGTTGGTCTAGTCTTCTGGTTCTCTCCTTTGATTTTGTATTGAAGAAACCAGATGGCTTTCATCCTGCTGCTCAGTAGTTCCCACAGAGGCTCAAGTTGAATAAGGATCAGGTGCTCTCAGGCTTATGCCTAAGGTCTGGACCCTCCTGGAAAGATGCTGGCTTCAGAAATTTAGGGGCTGGGCTGGCGTGGGCCCAGGGCCCAGGAAAGATGCTGCCCCCAGAAAGCTGGTGGCCGTGCCCTTTAACATTTTTTATTAAATTTTATTTATTTAATGTGTCTATGTGTATAAATGTTGTTGTGTATATTCTACAGTACATGTGTGGAGCTCAGAGAACATGTCATGGGAGTTGGTTCTCTTTCTACCATGTGAGTCCTGGGTATCAAACTCAGGTCACTGGGCTTTGTGGCAGGCGCACCTTCACCTGCTGAGCCTTCTTGCTGGTTCCCAAATAGGCTTTGTGTAAACCTCATGTCCCTCTATGTATGTTACACCAATAGGTGTTTGAAACAGAAACTTTTTGGCTTCTTTCTTTGTGATTGCTCAGAATCTGTGATCTGGTCATAATATCCCATAACTTGAACTCATGACAGTTGGCTCAGATATCCTGTTCCCACAGAGCCAACACCTTCCTCCATTGCTCCAACTTCTCCCTAATGCTTTTTATCTGTTTGCTATATTAATGCATTTGAAGTGTTTAATCATAAAATTGCAAGTCTTTACTCATGTATTTTAAAAGATATTTCATTTTTATTATCTTATTTTATGTGTATAAGTGTATTGCCTGTATACATGTAAGTGCACCCATGTCATGCAATGCCTGTGGAGTTCAGAAGAGGGCATCTGATCCCCTGGAACTGGAGTTTTGGATGGTTAGCCACTTTGTGAGTGAACCAAACATAGGCCGTTCAAAAGAGCAGCTGGTGCTCTTAACTGCTGAGCTACCTCTCTAGCCCCATCCTTATTCTTATTTCATGGTGAAAAGAAAGACAATTGAGGAAGAGCTCCCACAAACTCTCGTGCTTTTATCTACCAGAACACGGTCGCATCTTTGCATAGGTGCACTGTGAGCTCTTGCTATTCTTTAAAGTCAACCATTCTTCATTCCCTGGATCTTTTTCGTGCTCATCTACTTAAATCTTCACTCCTGCAAAATTCTTCCCCTTTCTGTATTATTTCATGATGAGATCGGCCTTTCCTTTTACCTTATGAACATGTTATAATTTCATCTTAAAAGGGATTCTTTTTGGATCCTCTGTCCCTTTCCTATCACCTTCCCATTTCTCCTCTTTGTGGTCTTTACTCAGAAGAGGCACTTTGGTTGGCTGGCTCTTGGGTGCTTCTCTCTTACACAGTCTTCACTCTGAGTTTTTGGAATCCCTCTGCTTTTGCTGGTTCACTGGTGGCTCTCGCAGAGCTAAATCGAAGGCTTAGTTTTCAGGCCCATCTCTCCAGCCTCCTTAGCCACATTTTAGAGCACGGATCAATTGTCCTGCAGACAGTTTCAGGATGACCCACTCTCCATCCCCACTTAAAGATTGTGCACACAGCTCCCTCTGCTGGGATCACTCTCCCCTTAGATTTCTGAGCTGTTGCTTCATCTCCATCGCACAGCTCACTTGCTGAGGTCTTGCTCCAGGACCTCCATCTGAAAATACAGTGCTTCTCTGTTCCCAGCTGCCCTTCCCACCATGCTCACACACAAACAGGAGTCACCAAACCAGACATTCTTCTCAGTTGCTCATCTCTTTCTCCTCATCGGAGAATGCAAGATCAATGCAGTGACAATTTCATTTTCTGTGTGCATTTTATGTTTGGGTCCAGGGCCTAGAATGATGGCTCATAGTAGCTAACAAACAGACGGCTACTGAGTGAGTTCAGAGGATCTATGTGGCCCGTGTATATACTGTCAAAATGAGATGGAAAATGATCTTATGAGTACTTCACTGAGCCATCTTCTCACTGTTCTCAACTTAAAGTAAGTATAAATGCAAACACACAGGCTTACAGTTGATTTTTATTTCTCTTGGAGGAAGTTTAAGAACATGGCAAAGTGATATGCCAAACTGTGCCCAGTGTGCAGTCCCTGATGATAACTTCAACTTAAGCACCATCTCTTTAAAAAGATTAGCCTGTAAGGATGACTCATGGATTAGTGAAAGAAAGGGTCTGTAGAGCATAAAATGAACTGTTTTGTGTATTTTTATAATTTACTGTGAGTGATATTCTGCCATGATCATGAGAAGACAGGACAATCAGTGTATATTTAATCCATCCTGCTTTATGCCTAAGTAGTAAACTTTGTAAATTATGCTATAAACTGCTGGATTGTTAGGGTGTTATAAGACAGTGATGTTTTCTTCATGAGACCTCACATCAGTTCATATAATCTGTAATAGTAGTGCTAAATAGTTTAGAAAAGAATGTGGTAAAACAAAATAAGTCTATGGGAAATTGCTTTTAAATGAATTGATCTGGAGTTCCATTAAAGGCTTCAAAATCAGTATATGTATAGAAATATTTCCTCTGTCTCTTAATTTCCTCCCATACTCTAAAATATTAATTTGAAAGCAATGAACATCTAAACAGCATAAGTGTGAGATAAAATTTATGATGATAGTTGTTCTCTAAGGAATGATTCTGAAGGTGTTTGCTTAGAAATGAATTGTGTATTGATGCCAGTAGAACACACACTACAAGTTGCTTTTTAGGAGCATAGATCAGACATGCTAAGTCATGTATCTTCACACTGAATGTTGGCCACATTTCACAATCCCCTTGCTAAACACTGTGACTAGTATCATGTTTACTTTGTGTAATAAAATAAGATGAATCAAATATATTCTAATTTTTCTGCCTTCCTATGGAAATAGAATACTTATAATCAAACTAAAGCAAAACCCTATAAGCCCCAATCTACATCAATGTAACCCAATCCCACTGAACAAAATATAAGAATCAGTGCACAAAAATAAGAAAATATTTATATTATACTTAACAATGAAACGTTTTGAGGAAAATTTAATAGGTATGTCGTATATTTTCTGGTAACTCTACATTGACTTCACCTTTCCTAAAATTTTTGAGGTTAATTAAACAAGAAATTGCTTAACCCATCTTGAGCCTAGCTCCTAATTCTGCCACTGACAATATTCTCAAATTTTGTTATGCTTAGTGACTTTCAGGGATGTTGTGGTACCTGCCTTCCCAAGTGTCTCATGATGGAACTCAGCCCATCAGGATGAAGCACTGCTGGTTTTCTGTGGACACGTACTCATGTACATGAACAGCATTTGTTACTTTCTTGATTGCTGAGACCTGACAGGAAGCAGCTTAGGAGAAGAGGAGTTTATGTTGACCTGTATTTAAGAAGGGTTGCAGTCCATCCGGAAGGGGAAAGTGGTGGGCTGCTCCACGGTGCAGAAGTGTGCAACTTCCTCAATCTTGGTGGAGCAGGAAGCAGAGGGTGGACAAGGGAATGGAGTCAAGCTCTCAGTGACATACTTCCTCCAGTGAGGCTCCACTCCCCCAAAAGTCCACAAACATCCACCACAGTGCCACCAGCTAGGGACCAAGTGCTTTAACACGTGAGCCTGTGGTAGACATTTGAGCACCTCCAACACTCAAATCAATTTCCATGGCAGCTGGGAAGGACTTGCTGTCAGCAACACAAATGTGAACAAACCAACATCTAGAGAATAAATAATCACAATAATTACAACAATCCCCCCAAATTCATGTCATTTAAGGTATCTTCATAACATGTGGGAACAGTGGAGAAATAAAAATAAACATTTGAAGGAAGAACACTCTGCCCTCTCTGGCCACTAACATGTATTAATAGGGATTAAACAGGATTAACAGGAAATGCTTCCTGGTTTATAAAGCAGATCCCTCCTGATCTTGCTTTGCATCCTTCCTACTTCCTTCTTTGGAAGGTCAAACAAGTATCATTAAGCTCAATTATGTAAATCACTCAAAGGCTCTATGACTCAGTTGTGTTGGAGATAGCAACGCGAGGTTTAAACAGTTCATTTTGGCTCTCGGCCGGGCATTTGGCACTAGAAAAGCACATTTGAATTTCCAAGGAAAAAACAGAAGCTTATTTTGCATTGTGGTCTTTTTGCCCTTCTTGAGGATGTGCTAAGCGATTGTTGTCTAAACTTTGGTGGTGACATTCCCAGTGAGCATGGATCACTGCTCTGCCCTGATTAGAGCCTCTTGGTGAGGAATGCTCGACTTGGAGGAACCTGAGAAGACGAAAATAATTTCCAGTTTAGCTAAACTGCTGACTTTCTTATTAAGTGCCTCTTCTGCCTGTAACACCAGACCATTCCTGGGTTTAACAGTACAGTGAAGAGGGTTATGAGCATCCCTGAGCTCCATCTGCTCCTTGCTATGTTTCCGCACTCCCTTTCCTGAGCACCTTCTTTATGGCTTCTCTGACATCTTTGTTTCTCAGGGTGTAGATCAGGGGGTTCATACTGGGCGTCACAATGGTGTAGAAAAGGGTGAGGAACTTGCCCTGGTCCTGGGAGTAGGTGTTGGCCGGCTGGAGGTACATGTAGATGATGGTGCCATAGAAGAGAGAGACAACAATTAAGTGGGAGCTACAGGTGTTGAAGGCTTTCTTTCGCCCTGCAGCGGACTTGATCCTCAGCACTGCTCGAGCAATGTAACCATAGGAGATGAGGATGAGGATGAGTGGTGCCAAGATGATAAAAATTGCCAAGGCGAAAGCCAGCGCCTCCAGGGTCATAGTGTCCACACAGGCTGTGCCAATCAGTGCTGGCATCTCACAGAGAAAGTGGTCCACCCGCCTGTTCCCACAGCGGGGTAGCATCAGTGTCTGGGGTGCCATTATGAGAGAATTGCCAAAGCCACTCAACCAGGCCACGGAAGCCAGCTGCCCGCAGAGGCGAGGGTGCATGATGACGGTGTAGTGCAGCGGCATGCAGACCGCAGCGTAGCGGTCATATGCCATGACAGCCAAGAGTACACACTCCACCCCTCCCAGGGCTAAGACGAAGTACAGCTGGATCGCACAACCCACGTAGCTGATGGTCTTGTCTGGACCCCAGAGGTTGTAGAGCATCTGTGGGATGGAGCCTGTGGTGAAACACATGTCCAGGAATGAGAGGTTGGCCAGAAAGAAATACATGGGTGTGTGCAGCCGGGAATCCAGAGCAGAAAGCAAGATGATTGTCACGTTGCCGAGAAGGGTCAGCAGATAAAAGGCGAGGACAACCACGAAGAGGATCAGCTCCAGGCGGGGACGGTCAGAGAAGCCCACGAGGATGAAGCCTTCGAAAGAACTCGTGTTGTCCTTTCCCATCACCTGAGACAGAATACTACCTTCTGGGAGGAAGGTCACAGATGTCCTATCTCAGCGTGGAAAGGTATTGGAACTCCCTTAGAAATGCTGGATGCAGCTGGGTGTGGTGGTCCAGCCCTCAGGGGAGAGAGGCAGGCAGATCTCTGTGAGTTTGAGGCCAGCCTGGTGGACACAAGTGCCAAGTCATCAGGGGTTTGATGGTGAGACCCTGTCACTTGACCTATAATTTCACTAAGTATGATTAAATCATCGTTTGGTCTGAAAAGCATCATATCTGAGTTTTTAAGGCTCCTGTGTATGTATATTTGGCAACATTTTAAATCAGTTTGTGAGCGGGCTGCAAATAATTACTTTGAAAATAATGATTAATGCATTCCTAAAAATCTCAGCACTCCAGAGGCTGACGCAAGAGGATCAGGAATTCAAGGTCAGTCTCAGCCTCAGAATGGGTCTGAGGTTAGAATGGGTTACATGAAAACTTTTATCAAAAAAAAAAAGTGATTGTTTTACAAAGGAATAAAAATTCAGAAATTGGGGTTGGAGAAATGGCTTAGTAGTTAAGAGCACTGGCTGCTCTTGCAGAGGACCTGGGTTCGATTCCCAGAACCCACATGGCAGCTAATAACCATTTATAACTCCAGTTCCAGGGGAATCTGAAGCTCTCTTTTGACCACTGAGGGCATTGTATGACTCAAGTGCATTTACATACATGCAGGGAATACACTCATACACATAAAAAAAAGAATTAAAAAATTTTCATCTTTTAAAAATGGGGAAATAGCAAACTGTACTAGTTATCTCTCCTGTTGGATGGGATAGGGGTTTCTATCTGCCTCCAGGACGAAGACTTGTTACGAAGTAAATTCTCACTCTGAAAACTCTTTCATTACTTCTGGGAAACTAGAAAGAAACAGAAACCCAACAGGATATAAGTTATCAAAGAAAACTTTGGAAAGAAACTTATCTCATCATGGCTTGTGTCTATACCTTTGGGCCCACCCATTCTGTTGCTTGAAACATGATCCTTATGTCCTATGTCAGACAAGATAATAAACCGCTTACATCATTATTTTAACATCCCTCTGCCCTGATTATCCTGCACCTCTGCCATAAAATTATGTTTTACATCATTGAGGTGTGTCTTGTCCCCAGAATCAGCTGATTGTTCATGTTGGAAAAAGATGAAAAAGATAAAGCAGTTCCCAGAGCCGGCCCCAACAGATCAACATTGAACACGCATGTAATCCTACTTCCTCCTCTTACACTTCACGCTTACTGAAAACTCCACTTCTGGGGCTCCTATGCTGATTATTTTCTTCATTTGGCTTGATCCCATGGCACTAAAAGACTTTGTATTTTCTGTGATGTTTTACATTCTCTATTTGGTAGTGGTTTTATGTCTTAAGGTGAATGTTCTGTATAATGTAAACTAACCGAAGGTAGAATCCCATTTACTGATATATATTTTTGAAGATTTATTTTTATGGGTTTTAATTATATGTGTGGACATGTGCATGTGAGTGCAGCTGCTTGAGAAGGCTAGAAGAGGGCAATGGACAGAGTTACACGTAGTTGTACGTCACCTAATGTGGGTGCTAGAAACCAAACCCAGGTCCTCTGTAAGAGCAAGTGCTCCTACCTGCTGAACCATCTCTCCACCCCATCCCATTTACTGATATTTTTGAAGATGTTCCTGAGAAATTAGTAGAAAGTCACAGGTTACACTGGAGTACAAAAATATTTTATCCATTAAACATTGGCACGTATTGGAGATGAAGGAATTAGCAAAGTCGTCACAGAAGAATTGCAGTGAAGCCAGCACTGGCGGAGTGGCTTTATAGTTTCCTTTTGTAAGATGGAAATTTAGAAAATGATAGTCTACAATGGTCAAGAAAGGACACACAGGTACATGACATGTGAAATGGGAGCTGGATACTATCTGATAGAGAGGAAAATATATCAAAGCCTGGAACTTAGAATGTTTTCTTTTTTAAAATTATTATTATTATTATTAATTTATCTTTTTGAGACAGGGTCTCCCTGTAGCCCCAGCTGGCCTGGAATGTGCTCTGTAGACCAGGTTAGTCTCTATCTCACAGAGATCCTCCTGCCTCTGCTTCTCAAGTGTTAGGATTCAAGGTGTGTGCCATTTATGTTGAGAAGCATGTTTTAGTTACTTAAAAAAAATGATTATTTTTAGCTGAGCATGATGGTGCGTGCCCTTAATCCCAGCACTTGGGAGGCAGAGGCAGGCAGATCTCTGTGAGTTCAAGACCAGCCTGGTCTACATAGCGAGTTCCAGGCCAGCTGGGGCAACAGGGAGACCCTGTCTCAAAAATACAAAAAACAAAAATCCCTATTTTATTATTTTTATTTTATGTGTATGAGTATATTGTCTGCATGCATGTAAGTGCACCCATGTTGTGCAATGCCCTTGGAGATCAGAAGAGGGTGTTGGATACCCTGGAACTGGAGTTACGGATGGTTGTTAGCTACCATGAAGGTGCTGGGAACTGAACTGGGTCCTCTGCAAGAACAGCCAGTGCTCTTAACTGCTGGGCCATCTCTCCAGCCCCAATGTTTTATTTTTTTAAAAATAGCTGGAGATATGACTGTAAAGGAAGAACTATTAATCCTGAATGGTGGAATATGTGCATTTTTTTCTACTTGTCTTTGTAAATGTCTGTATGTCTTAAATACCTTAAAATATAAAAGAAAGTAAATTACTAATCAGGTCATTAGATAGCGATGGGCTAATATTATGCAGCTCTTATGTTAACCACAGACAATAGTTTACCTCATTCATTTTTCAGTCACCCAGAGAGGTCAGCACTTTCATTACCCACAGGACTGATTAAGCCACTGAGGCCAAGAAATCAAATAACCGGTTCTGGCGCCTACAGTTGGTGCCTCCTAGAACTTCTGTGGTTTTATCCCACAATCACCTCATCAATCAGGACTCTAAGCACAGACGTAGACAGCACAGTCTTCATGCTAAATCTGCATATAATGAAATTGGGCTGTAATACCGAGACTTCAACTCATGTCTTTGATTTATTGTACAAAGTTTAATAAAGAATCTTATTGCTTTGAGTAAGTCAAGTAGCTATTCTGGCAAAGAACTAGCAAAAAAAAATCACATTTTATTCAGAAAATGAGAAACAGTTGAACTTGCTTGTTGTGTTACACTGAGCACCTGTACTCAGAAGCTTGGCAGGACAAACCTCAACCATGTGCTCTGAGGAGGAAGTGACTGTGATTGACAGCGGCCTTGTTCCATAGCTACCATGCTAGGGATGTTCCTATGGCATGTCTGTATGCACATGAGTGTTTATTGATCATACAGCAGAACACAAACCTGCTTCTTTCCTTTCCTTCTTTCTCAAATCAATCGGGAATTATTCAGACAGGATTTTACCATCATGAGTGTGTCATTCTGGTTTAGAGTTCTCGGGGTGGTGATGCCACGGGCTGCCTTCTTTTCTGCTCCTCATTTCACCCCATGGGCTCAGTCACTTTTGTTCTTTACCAGCCTCTCCTTGGTGAGGATTTAGTCCCTACATTTCAGACTTTGAAGTTTAGTAGCTACACCCTCAATTGGCCCAAAATATTATTCTAAGTGACATGTGAGTACATCTCTCCTTCCTTGAACCAAGAGGAATGATTTTTAAACAGGGAGCTGACAGTTTCTTCACAGCTCTAGTGATGCAATTTATCTTTTTTTCTGGCATTTAAATGTTTCCCCACTGTTTTGAAAAAAAAGATGAATAGTTACATGTTCCATGACTTCTGAATCATTGACCAGATAATTTAAATTTCACAAGACTACAAAAATAAATCAAATAATGCTCCAACATCAAATGCTATCTAGTTACCTGCCAAGGCACCAGCATGGAGATTCATTGCTTAGTTAGATATGAAATCCCAGAGTTAAGAAAAGTGCGGGCAGTCAGGGCTAACCCACTGCTCGTTCTTGAGTGAAGTAGATGCAAATCCATAGGACCAATAGGAGCATCTTATATTTCTTTACAGATTCTCTATTTGAAGCTCAAAGTCATGGTGTCAATATTCAGTACTCAGTACTTTTTATTCGATGTGCTCTCACATGATCCTGGAGTATAATAAGTATCTTTATCCTTAGGAATTTTCAATTTAGTAGATTCCAATATTTTCTAAAGTTATTTTGGGTGGAAGAACTTCACTAATAAGCTCAAAAATCTCTCTCTAGGCTCCCCATGGAATAAATGATATTTAAGCACAATCTTTAATAACGTATGAAGAATCATCTGGAAATAAGTATGTAGACATTTATGCTGTGAAGTGACAGCATAATAAATTCCATGGCCTATGATCTGACCACAGTCTGAGGCTGTCAAACGTCAGATCACTGTTAGTTTAGACACCCAGGTTATGGGATCAATAACTTACCAAATTTAACAGAAATGCCATGTCCAAAGTCCTTTCTCTTTTCTGCGACTTCACTTGGAAGCCCAAGTGGAATTACCAGAGGGTAGACACAGAGAATAAAAAGATGGTGGTAGGAAGCCTGTGAGAACACAGGTGAGCACACAGCGTTCACGACATCCACAGTGTAACATGAGGCCTATCCATAGCCCCAGCCTCCCAAGTGGGCTCCAGTGACTACCAGCACCAGGAGCATGCAAAGATCTAAGCCTTCGAGTCAGACAAGGAAGAAGGTATTATGGGAGTCTGAGCTGATAGAGGACTGGGTGTTTCCTGCCTCCCTCTACTGGGGACTCTTAAGGCCATGCTCAAATTCCCTTAGCTAATTATCTCTAACAAGAATTGGGAGAGTATGTGGTCTCATAGGAAACACTCTTCCAACACACACACACACCAGATTCCCCAGAGAGACCGAATCTTACTCATGGAGTCAGTTTTGATCAAGACCAACAATTAGCAGCAAGCATTAAGACATAGGAAGTAGCCACTCCACATTTGGTACAGACTGGAACCTAGAGTCAAGGAAAAGAAGGTGATGTCTGCTG